TGAACTCTCAGCAAAGGCAGAAGTGGAAACAGGAAATGGACTCTCAGCAAAGGCAGAAGCGGAAATAGGAAATGAACTCTCAGCAAAGGCAGAAGCAGAAACAGGAAATGGGTTCTCAGCAAGAGCAGATGGGCCAAAGGAAGCTCAAGACGGAACGATCTGGAGCAGAGGAAGAAAGCAGTAAGAACGCCTCAAATCTAGAAGCAACCACTGATCTGTGTCTTGGCAATTTCTAGTCTTACAGCCTCTGCCTCCCTCCTATACATCCTCACTTTTCTAGGCTCAGCAGGGTGAAAAGAATGGGAAATGCCATAGTCTAACCTCGGTTCACGTTCCTGTCCCTCCACTCTTCTGCCTGTGTGACCCTGTCAAAATGGTTCAGCTCTCTGTGCCTCAGTATCCCTTTCTGTAAGAGGGGTCTACCTGCCATCTAGGTTACTATGTGGAGTAACGAGATGAGCATATGTGTGCTGGCTGGCACTTTGTAGAGGCTCAGAAAAAAATTGTTGCAGCATCCGCTGCCCTCAAGAAGAGCAGCTGAAAGTATTTCAGTCCCAGCCAAGAAAGTCCATGGTGGGAGGGAAGTAGGTACTGGGGAATCTCATTTCTGTTCCCAGGGCTGAAGCCTTGGAGGAAGAGACACTGGGTGACCACAACAAACTCCTCACCTCTCCTCCCTACCTAGGAAATGGTGACAATATCCAACCACAGCCGGCCCCCATCTTCCCCCTCTCTCCTGAAAGGATCCTGGGGATAGGAACAGCCGTGAGTCCCCAGAGTGTCACTGCTCCCTCCAGAAATCACTTCCAGGATGACCACAGCTGCCCACCCTTCCTTCCTGGGTGCACATGGCCTTGACCCTTCTTGGCCCATTCTGGCCAGGTAGGGTTGCCCTGCCAAGCAAACAAGCAGGGTTCCAATCCCGTGCCATGGTGCTAAGATAGTGGGATCCCCCAAGGAGGGGAGCCTGGTCCAGACCTGAAAGATATCAGGATGGATTCTGGGAGGAGGTGGCACTGTTATACGGTGTCAGCATGTGTAGCAGGTGCTCAGGGAAAGGTGGGTGGGGACTAGAGGGAAATTTCACCAGGGGCTCACAGCTGTACAGCATTCAGCAGCTCTCCCATCTCCATGATGTAGGCAGGAAGCTGTTTTACAGAGAAGGGAAACGGAACCATGGGAAAGTGACCTGCCTAAGGTCACATGGCTAATAAATGATCAAACAAGGGCTAGGACACGGGCATGCCCAGCCCAGAGCCATTCTGTGTTGGAAAAAATGGAGACCTATGTTCCATGCCTTTGGCTTATTACTGAGGGTTCTGCTGGCAGTAGAATGGGCTTCATAATTTTTATTTTTATTTTTTGGTACTGGGAGGGAATCTGACTTGAGTCCTTAAGAAATGTCCTGAAGGATGGGCCCCTCCCCTCCTCCCAGACAGCCCTGGCCACTCCCTTGCGGCTGCCTCTGTCTGATACCCCGGCTTGGGAAATGAAGCTGTCCCAGTCTACTTAATGGCATGGCCCAGAGCTCGAGAGAGCCGCGCTGCCAGGTGATGCATTGTAATACCCATCCGCGTGGACATCTCCTTCCCTCCCTCTAACAGCATTTGCCACGGCAGTGGTGCAGCATGGATGCAGGCAAAAAATGTGTCTGTTGCATCGCTTTAAGGAGCAGGAAGAAGTTACAGGCATTGATTGAAATTCTCAGGTAGAGCAAATCTGGTGGCATTTGAAGAGGGGAATTTAATTTGATAGTTTATATTCTACTTAAGTTCCTCCTCCATCTGACTGCCGGTAAACAGCTGCAAACTGCCACAGCTGTGTCTGCAGTGGAGAGGAAATCCAGTCTGGGGTAGGGGGAGGCCTGGTGTGGGCAGAGGGCCAGGGCAGGAGACCCCATTGGCTTTGTCCTTCCTGGGCCTCTACTGTCAAAGGATGGGCTCAGAATAAATGAAGATGAGGGCCTCCTCATGCTCTGAACTCCACACTGTTTAAGATGCTCAGTAGTACAGAAGAGGGAACGAGGAATTTGAGATCAGAAAACCAGAGCTTGGCCAGGCACGCTGGTACACTCCAGTAAGTAATCCCAGCACTCTGAGAGGCTGAGGCAGGGGGATCGAAAGTCTGAGCCCAGCCTGGGCAACTCTGAGACTCAGTGAGACCCTGTCTCAAAATAAAAAGGGGGTGGAGGATGTAGCTTGGCACAAAGGCCTGGGGTTCAGTCCCTACTACCACAAAGAAAGAAAGGAAGAAAGAAAGAAAGAGGAAAAGCGGAGCTTGTCTTGGTTCTTTCTGTGGGACCCTGGGCAGGCATCAGACTCTCTCTGGACCCTGAAGGTGGCAGTGGCCATGCGTTACACCCAGGACACAGTGAGGTTGATGAGAGGGTGTGCTTGTGGCATCTGGTGCCCGGGAGGGTGGTCCGAGGTTGGCAGCGACTGTGCTCCTTGCTGTGGGTGCAGAGAAGCCCAAGAGGCACTGCCTCCTGCTGCTCCTGACAGCAGCTCCAGCGGGCCAGGCAGCACCTCCTCGGGTAGAAGGCTGGGCCTGGGCTCGCTGGTCCTCCTCCAATTTGCAAAGTGCCTGAGCTGTGTCTCCACCCCTGGCCAAGCAGGCCTTGGGGAAGGACCTATGCCGTGTGCTGCCCCTTCTCCGTCCCCACTGGACACCTGGGCTTCCTCCCTTCACTGATGGGCCGGGAGCAGACCCTTGGAGCAGCCTGTGGCCGCCTTGGTCCCTCTCCCTTTGCCTCCTGTGTCCAGGCGCCATGGTCGGGTTGGAGTGCAAAGCGGCTGCCGTGCGTCTCTGCTTCGTCTCCATGTGTTTTGCAGACTCAGTGAGCACATGGGTTGTGGCAGGTGCTGTGGACAGAGAAGGGGCCCAGGGAGCCAGGGAACTTGGCCTGGGATGGGGACAGGCGCACACAGGGTCCCAAGCCTCCTCTCGGCTCCGTGGCTCCTCCCCACTGGAGCCAGGGCCAGGACGCCCTCTCCCACTCACTCCTTTCCACCCGAGATAATGCGAGCAAAGCGGTGTGATTGCTTCTACGATGTCGAGTCTGATAGCATGCAATTCATCTCCCACGCTGCCCTTTTGTAGCGGCGATGTCTGCTTCCACAGTGGCGTCCCTGCTGATGAAGGCCCTGGTGTCTTTCTGAAAGTGTCATTTGGTTAAACATGCAGAGCAGGGGAGGAGAGGGGCTGACGGCCCCACTCCCTCCTCGGGCCCGGAATGCTGGTGCCAGGCCTGGCACGTGTGAGGTCTAAGCTGCACAAGGACAGTGAATTCAGCCTCACTCCCTTCCTGTCTCCCCTTGGTCACTCTGCTCACTCCCTCGGTGGCCTCCCTGGACACATCAAGCAGTTTGCAGCCAGGCCCTTGGACTTGCACTTCCATTGGTCTACTTGCCCTTCAATTCTCCTCCAGTAGCGGCCTGTTCAAACGTCAGCTCCTCAGGGTTTCTCTGACCACGCTGCCGTCACATCCTCTGAGCCTCAAAAGGTGCCCAGCAGGGAGTAGGCATCTAATAAACATTTGCCAAATGAATATGGACTGTGACAGCCAGGGGGATGGCAGAGCAGACTGAGCGCCCAGGAGCACAAGGCTGCAGCAGGAAGAGGATGGGGAATTCTGTGAGGCAGGCGTGGTGGGCTGGCTGACTCAGCATGGCCGGAGCTTCTGCTCCCCTGGGCCCTCCTACCTGGGCCCCCTGCTCGCCTAGTTTCCTTCCTGCCTCTTTCATCTCCATCCCTGCCAAGCCTCCACATCACTAATGACTAATGACTGTCCTGTAATGAGCCTGGCGTCCAGGCCACCATGTCCCAGGGATTGGCTCTGGGGGTCAAAGGTCCAGACTCTACCCCCACTGCACGCTTCCCTGATCCTGGGCACTTGGAAACGAAGTGGGTGGGAGGCCGATCCTGGATGGGCACCTTCCAGATGTGGCAGCCTGGTGTCCAGTGGAGAGGGGCTGAGCCAGGAGGTAGGGCTGGGATGGTGCTTCACCTCCGGGATCTCAGTTTGCTCCTCAATAAACCCTCAGAGTTGGACAGGGGGAGTGACTTTTACATGGTGCCTGAACACCCTGGGGAACGCAAATGACACGATCTGGATTCATGGGGAATCAGAAGGCACGGGCATCACCTGGCTGAGGTGGGGGGAGGGGGGTCTGCAGCCACCTGAGGGGCTCCCGGGAGGAGCAAGGGGCAGAGGGCTCAGACCCCTACTTCAGCCAGGGCAGCCCTGTTTTCTGTTTCTTACCCTGTGTTGGGTCATGGTTAAGATTTTACCTGGAGAAGGGCTCCTTCGCTAGCATTTGAGAAGCTCCAGAGCAGAAGGCTCCTGAACTCCCCCTGGTTTTGGTGCTTGGTGTCTTTATCCCCTTAAGATTCAGTCTCAGGGATTGCTGTAAGGCTCGCGTATTTCTCCCGTGACAGTGCTCAGAGTGTACGATGAGACCACAGGGTGGCCAGGTGCGTCCCTCTGGGACAAGAGACATGGAGTGGCGAAGGAGTGGGAGCCGTGTGACAAGGGTGCTGGCAGCCCGGGTGCTCGTGTAAACCTCAAAGGGTTGGCTCACCCCGACACCCAGGAAGCTGCTCCTGTCCTCCTGGGAGTGTCTGGCAGAGTGACTGCAGGAAGTCCTCGAGTGCCTGCTGCCTGGCTGTCCCCTTCCCTGGCTTAGGGAGACAGTGCTTTGAGTGACATGCTGTTCACAAGGGAACGAGCCCTCTGGTCTTCTCCAGAGCCGAGAAAGCATTTTTTTTATCCCTAATCCTGGTGTAAGATCATTGCTGTCTCCGTGAGAGATGCTGGAGCTCAGGCCCAGGAGGCAGCTGAACCAGAAGGGAGGGGCTCAAGGGGACCCTTGGAAGAAAACCAGGACTTGAATGCAAAGGAAGTGAGAGTGCAGCCTCGGAGGAGGGCAGGTCTGCTAGGGGTTTGGGACCCCTGGACCCACCTGACTTAAACAACAGGTAAGGTTGTCACACAGGGAGAGTCGGACAGCTTTGAGTCACACACTGCACAGTAGGCAAAGCAGGACCCAAGACTGTGACCCTGCCGTGTGTAGGAGCTCAGGGGCTTCCTGGGTCAGCCGGCCCAGCCAGTTCCTCCTTCCAGCCCTGGTGGCAAGGCCAAGATGGAGTCTGGGGAGAGGAGTCAGGAGGGGGCTGGAGGGGTGCTGGCCTGGGCCTCAGCTTCAAGGCTTCCCCAGAACAGGGGCATGCCTGGGGGGTGAGGGAGGGCAGGCAGCATCACAGAGGTGTGGGGTGCGGACGAGACCTCCTTTGAACTCCATGCTTTGTCCAAACAGGTGGCTGTTGGGACAGGGGAGGTGGGCCTAGGGCTCAGAGCAAGGCAGGAGCTTTAAGAATTCAAATGCCAAGACAGAAGGAAATAAATTTCACAGAGGGGCAGGTATTTAATATCCATCTTCTCTTGAACCCTCATGATCACGTTGGCAATGAATAGAGAAGGAAACAGAGTGAGAAAACATTAAGTAATTTGTCTAACTAGGAAGTAGCGGGGCTGGGATTTGAACCTGGGTCTGCATGGCATTGAAATCTCTTGTTTCCCCTTGCCAGAGTGGTGAGGGTCACGGGGAGGGGTGCGGCTGGGCGACTGTGGGTGCATTTGAGACTCACCCCAGGTGAACTGGGCGTCATAGCTGAAAAGTTGGTTCACGGCCCCACGCTCGGCAGGGTGGGCACTGGTGCTGCAGGGGTGGCAGTGGGGGCAGCAGCGATGGTGACCAGTAGTCTGTGTCCCAATCCAGTGGCAGGTTGTGCACTTTGAGAGCTCCCGGATCAAGGGTGGGACCTTGTGTCTTCTCACGGCCCGTGATTTGGTTTTTATCTTCATCCTGAATGTGTCCTTTCTCTCTCCAGCTGCTCACACAGAGACACCCAGACTTCGGGGTGTCCTGGCACGCTGTCATTGTTTGCTGCTTTCTCAACACCTTTCTCCTGTCTAAAGCGCTGCCTGACAAGGAGTTTAAAAAAATTATACGACTGTGATTTCTCTTGCTCATTTATTCCTCTCTCTTTGAACGTGAAAGGAAGTGTAATATGTCTTTACCTTGTATGACCCGCCATGTCTCCCCGGGGCAGGCTGCTGCTTGCTAACCTCTCTCATCCTCTAAGGCTTACCCAGAGCTGGTGGCCATTTTCCCAAGAAGGGCTAGAGAGGACCCCAGAGGCTCCGTGTGAACTCTGGGCGTCACTCGAGAAAACATCCCAATGTACACAGAAGTCGCTGTGCTTCTGTAACCTGAACACAGGTTCCGATGCACGGGAAACTGGAACTTCTCAAGGGTAGACTGTGTTTTCAGAAGTGAGCCATTTAGGGTTTACTGCATGCATTTTAAGGTTTTTCTGGGAAATAATGCTTCTGAGGCAGTTAGAATGTAAAAAGAGCATACAAGTGGCCGGGGGACTTAGCTGTAAGTATCGGGGCCAGGAGGAAGGAGAGTCTGTGATCCAAGGCACTCAAGGAATTTAAGACTTTAACAACATTCTGCAGGGAAGAATGTATTAGTTAGGGCAAAAGTAGGCTGCTGTAACAAAGAAGCATGCAAAATGTCACCTGTTCACGTTTCTCTTCTGTGATGATCCAGAGGTAGCAGATGGTCCATGGCGGGCAGGTGGCCTGGTTCTGTAGGGTCACTCCAGGTCTCTGACACCTTCTCCAGCTCATCAGCCTCATCTTCATGGTCACTGCTATTCATGGGTGCCACATCCAGGTGAAACAGGGACATCAGAACCTAACAGCTGAAGGACAGATAAGCCATGGGAACTGCGGACATCGTTTCTCCTTAATCGCTGTGGCAAGAACTCGGTCCCGAAGCCACAGCAGGCAGCCAGCTACCAGGGAGGCTGGGGAGTGCTGGAGGACAGGCCAGAGCTAGAGATGGGCTGCACGGGTAAAAGGAAGGAGAACAGGATCTGGGGCCTGGGGAGCACAGCCTGCTGCATGAAGACGTCCCAGAGGATGCAATCAATCCCTGATGTCAAGTTGGTCTTTAACAAGAGCAGTAACTGTAACCCTCTCCCCTCTCCCCATAAACCACCTCTGAATTAAGACGGCTTTGGAAAGGCAACAGGCCTTCTGGTTGTCACCAATGGGACACCGCATCCTTGTGTGCCATTGCCCTTGCGGACAGGATCTTAGTCCCTTTTCTCCAACAGGAGCACACTGAAGAATCACATTTTATTCTGCAAAGGCATAAAACCCTATCTGGAGGCTTCACTGACAGGGTCCTCCAATCTTTCGTGAGATTTAATACAGCAAATAAATTCCAATTCAGCACTTAGCGACTGCCTCATGGTGGGCTCTTAGCAAACGGCTGTTGAATGAATGCTTTAGGGAGCGGCCTTCTTCTTACCCTCCAGGGGCCCGATGGAGGAGGGAGGTGGCTTCCAGCAGCACAAGTGGGTTTTCTTATCTTGGTTGTGCAGAGAAGACAGACAGTGGTTTTGATTTTAGGTCAACCTTGTCATGCAGTTGGGTCCCGGGGGTCACCCCCTCCCCAGCTGGATTTACCGTTACTGCTGTGTTCACGGGGAGGGGGCGGGGTCTGTGCAGGTCTTCCTTGATTTATTCCTTCATCGCTTTAGTCATTCAAAGTGGAAAAACCAGTATCAGACACATGGCTGTGGACTGTTACTTTTTGGCAAGTGTATGGCATGCCTTGACCTCCCCAAGGCTCCTGCTGGGTTGCAGCTCTTAGAGGGATGCTGGTCCCAGGTAGGGGCTGGAGGTTGGAAAGCTGGCAGTGGGGAAGCCAAGGGGCAGCCAGCAGGTGGGAGAAGGTCCTCATCCAGGAGGGGGCTGGGTGGACATCACTTACCCCAGGAAACCAGGGCCCAGCGCTGTGTGCAGAGCTGGGGCAGAGCAGGTGGCAGCGTGTGAAGCTCAAGAGGAAAAGAGCAAAGACAGTGTCTACACAGCACGTTTGAAATTTGACTAACTGGTCTGTCCCATTACCGTGCTCTGCCAAGGCAGGAAGACAGTCACAGGTGCAGTGGCTTGTCTGAGCCCACACGCCACCTGATGGCGAAGTCAGGACCTGTCAGCACAGAGGCTGTGCTGGTCTCTTCTCAGACTCCGAGCAGGCAGCAGGAGGGATGCGGAGATGGAGGCTGCCTCCGTGGTCAGGGCGGGGACAGCATGTGTGTCACCCGGAAGGCACTGTGAGAGAGACCAGGGAAGAGGGACGTGAAGGACCAAAGAGCTCGAGTGCAGGGTCACTGGGACAAAGCTGTAAGGGGAGCGGGTGGACACTCGGTGGGGGCGGGACCCGGGGAGCCTCTTCTTGCTGTCACCTGCCTTGGCCGTGGCAGGGACTCAGGCTGTCCTCCTCTGTATCCTCGCCTCGCCCCTCCGCTGGACTAGACCTCTGCTCTGAGCTGTAGTCTTCCACCACCAAGGGCTCTGGGAACCTCTCCCACGGCGTCCTCACTCACCAGGTGTCCACTGTGTCTGCCACCTCTTGCTCCCCTGGGTCCTCCTTTGTGACCTCATCACGACTGTGAGGAGAGGTGTCCGACAAGAGGTCCAGGAATGGCCCCAACACAGACTCCACCAGAGCCCCCTTCCGGTCACCCACTGGCTGAAACTGGCTTGCTCTCTAGTAGCCCGGATGAGCTAATGAAACCGTGGGTCTCTGTCTGCTGCCCCCCTGCCCCCGTTTGAAATCCTTTTTCCTCCACCATCAGAGTCCTTCAGCTTGTGAGTGGAGGGGTGTGGACGGTCAGGTCCCTGTTCCCTCCAGCGATCCCTGCATGAACACCTGCTGTCTACGCGCCAGCCCACTCCTTGAGCTGAATCCTGTCGCTGCAGTACCGGCACACACAGCCTTGTCCTCAGGTTGGAATCTCACCCGGCCTCCTGCATCACCTCCTCCCTCCTTGCCTTCTTCTCTTTTCTTTCTCTCACTTCTTCCTCTTCCTCTCCCCCTCTCCCTCCCTCCTTCTTCTTCTTCTCCCTCTCCCTCTCCTTCTCCTTCTCCTTCTTCTTCTCCTCCTTCTCCTTCTCCTCCTTTTTTTTAGATATCATAGGAATGATGCAACAATAGTATATATTTATTAAGAGCATCATTGTTTGTTAAGTACTTTAGATAATTTTCACAAAAATTCTGTGAAGTAGATGCTAGTCTCCTAGAAAAAGTACATGTATATATTTGTGTGAGAGTGTACATTCTCATAAACATTTAAATACATGTTTTTTCTTCTATCTTTCATTGGAAGACCGATATCAGAAAAATTGTGAAAGTCCTTCAAGTGGGTGTTTGCAGTGAACTTGAATTTGTGTTTGTAAATTAATTTTATTATATCTCATGAAAGTATACGGTTTGAATTGTTTGTTTGACTTTACTAGTTTCCTAATTAATGAATTAATACATTTTTAAAAATTCTTAAGTTCTTTTATTGGTATATTTTAGGTATACAATACGTTTACATTTATCACTGGGTGCTTGTACCTGTACATGATGCATCTTGGTTCATTCTTTCTCCCACTTCTGTTATGCACATTTCAAACAGCGAAGGAGTAAGGAGTGGAGGGGAATGACCTCCCACAGTATAAGGAGCTACCCACTGGCTTCTACAGTCATTAACTCACCAACAATATTATTCCATCGAGACGCCCCTTCCTGACCCTGGACACAAATGTGCGCTCACACACACACACACACACACACACACATGCATCAGGTTAGTTTGAAGCCAATTCTAGGTATTATATCATTTCACCCTTACACCTTTTAGTTTCTGTCTCTAAAAGGTATTAATCTTTCAAAAAGTAACTACAATACTATCACAACATATTTTACCCTGCCTCTTACAATTGCTTAAAACCATCCAATGTCCACAGGTATTCAGATTTTTCTGATTACCTTGTAAATGTTCTTTTAGACAGCCAGTTTGCTCAGATCAGAATCTAGAGAAGTTCTCACACTACAATAGATGGATGATGTCCCTTAAGTCACCTGGAATCTATAGATTCGCACAACCTCTTATTTTTGGCACTTTCAGTGAGGAAACCAGGTGTTTGCTCTATAGTTCCTAGCTACCTGAGTTTCTTCCTTTCTTTCCCTTTCTTTCTTTCTTTCTTTCTTTCTTTCTTTCTTTCTTTCTTTCTTTCTTTCTTTCTTATCTTTCTTTTTCCTTCCTTCCTTCCTTCCTTCCTCCCTTGTCTTTTACTGTGGTACTGGGGATTGGACTCAGGGCCTCACACATGCTAGACAAGTGCCCTACCATTGAGCTGCGTCCCCAGCCCTTTTTATTTTAAGAGAGGGTCTTGCTAAGTTGCTCAGGCTGGGCTTAAATTTGTGATCCCCCTGCCTCAGCCTCCTAGAGTGCTGAAATTACAGAAATTACAGGTCCCCTTCTTGAAGATGGAAGTCACCTCTCACCTCTGCATTTAGAACCTGAAACAATGTCTTCCAGAAGGTTTAGGAAGGGAGATAAAGACAAGACAAGGGAAAATAGAGAAAGGAAGGAGTGCGACTTCTGGTAAGTCTGTCAAAAAATCAGCGCTGGGGATTTAGCTCAGTGGTTCTGCCACCTGCCTTGCAACCACAAAGTCCCAAGTTCGATCCCCAATACAAAAAAAAAAGAGAAGAAAATCTGTCAAAAAGTGATGGCTCTTGAGCCCGTCCCAGCTCTATGAAAATCAGAACCTCTGAGTGCTGGGCCCAGGAACCTGCATTTCTTACAAGCTCCTAGGCATCCTTCTGTCTTCTGCAGAGCCTCCCATATGCACAGAAAGGGTCCCTGGAGTAAGGCACTTCTGGCTCCCTCATTTGGAGCCGGGCTAGGATTCTGCAGTTTGGAAGCATGGGGCTACCTCACTTCAAGTGTCAGAAAAGCACAAATGTGGGTGAGAAGTAACGCCTCACTCCTGCCTTCGCTCCTTCAGTCAAGGGTAGCTGGTTTTTTTAATGGCTTTGCTCCATGCAGGTGCTGGGATTCTGCAAGGCACAACCTCCAGTTGGTTGGCAGTGTGGTTCTCCTGCCCTGGGGACCCAGGTGACTATGCTGTCTGGCAGGCCCCTGGCCAGTCCCTTCCTGGGCTGTCCCTTCCCAGCTCCCCACACCCACATCCAAGCTCATTCCTCCCCCTCTGCACCTTTCTGAGTCTGTGGCTTAGCGCAGCCTTCCTGTCTCTCAGCCTCCCTCCCTCTCTACCTCAGGGCTATGGGCTTTGGTGTTCTCCTTTAATCATTATTTGTTTGTTTATCTTTCCACAGGTTTCTCCTCACCAAGCCAATTTGAATTAATTTTGCAGGGACAATTCCACAAGACAATGTATCAATTGCTGTATTAAAATCAAGATGTATTGCATCTCTGCCATCCTTCCTATCCCTTAATTTCTTAGTTCCCTCAAAGGCACAATCAAGTGTGTCTGGCATAATTTGTTCTTTACAAACCCAGGCAGCTCCTTGTGTGTGCTTGTAATTTTAGAAAGATTTTTGGCAGTGTTTTATTTCTATAATACTTTTCTTTATTGTATTGGGTGATTGAATCTTACTGATTAAGGTGACAGAGGAATGGACCTCAGGCCTGAGCCTCCTCTCTGGGGTCTTCTTCCTGACTCCATCCATCCGTCCGTCCATCCATCCGTCCGTCCATCCATCTGTCTGTCCATTCATCCACTTGCCTATCTGTCCATCCATCCATCTGTTCATCCATCCATCCATCCATCCATCCATCCTTCCAGTCCTCTGCTCTCTGGATCTAGGACACATCACACTATCACCTGGGGCTGGAAGGGCCACCAAAGGCACCTGGAGACCCAGGTTAAAGGGGGCTCTTTTCTAGGATGTCCTCTTTTCTAGGATAAGCTCTAAGAATTGAAAAGGACACTCTGGACAGGGGCCTGGGGGAGTCAGGGTCAAAGCCACTCATGGTGGGTGTAATGGGTTAAGCCCAGCCTAGTCCAAGGGACTGCATTATTCCATTTGAGCAGCAGTGGCACTGGGGGACAGACAGTTCTTTGTGGTGTGCTGCCCTATCTGTCACAGGGTGTTCAGGAGCAACCTTGGCTTCTTACCTACGCAGTGCTAGTTGTGTCCCCTGCTCCCAAGTAGTACGAACAAAAAACATCTCCAGGCACTGCTGAATGTGCCCCTGGGGACAGAATCACCCCAGGACTGTGGCAGAGAGAGAGATCAACACAAGTGTAGATGCAGAGTGAGCTTTGGGGAACAGAAGTAGATAGGGCTCTGGCTTACTAGTCCTGGATGGTGGCTTGCATGGTGGTTGAGAACATGATCTTGGATATAAAATGAAAATCAAATCACAGCTCTCCGCTGCTTAAAACACTCCACTAGCTTCCCATTGATCTTAAAATCCATGCTCCTTATCATAGTCTCCCAGAGCTAAACCTCGTCTTACACCACCCTCCTCTCTTGCACAGTCTTGCAGCTGTGTTGAACTTTGTTCTGTTCCCTGTGTCCCAGAATCCCATGCCGTCCCCATGTCAAGGCCTTGCATTTTCCCTCCCTCTGGTCAGAGCTTTATTTCCCGGGGTTGCTGTGCCTGGGTCTCTCTCAATGCCCACGTCTCGGCTCAAATGTCACCTCCTTAGATACGCCTTCCCCATCACTCTTGCAGAAGCACTGACCCATCATTGTCCAGGGGACTCTTGGTGGCCCGGTGACTTTCAGTGGCCTTACCTTGTCCTTGTCTTCATTACTCTTCCACGTGCTCATACTTGTTTACCTTTTCCTTGATAATTGTCTGTCTCTTGCATAATAACGGATGCTCCCTGAGAGCAGGGCCTGTGCCTACGCTGAGAAAATCATATGCTTTTGTAGATGTAGGAAGATTAAATGAGATAATAATAATTGCAAAGTAATAACAGTAGTAATAATAGTGCTCAGCAAGCAAGCACATAGCCTGCAGTAAATGATTATCGGTGATCACGGCGTACTATTTTTGTCATGCCATTTAGACATCCTCTGTGCCTGTGGCCCTTCCTATCGCCTAACCTCCTCTTCACATTTTGGCAGATCCCCGTGATGTGGCCCTGCCTTCTGAATGTGGGCTCCAAAAGAAATCTGCATTTCCCAGTGAGGTTGACAAATGTGTCCTGGTTTGCAGGGGCTTTTCCGGTTTAGCATTCAGAGACCTGCACCGTAGGGAGCCCCCAGTCTGTTCCCAGCTTCCAGTGACTTCTAGTTAGGTGTAGCTGAGGCATCGCATGGGGTTTGAGTGAGAGCAAAGGAGACCAGTCCAGGACTAGGATGTGACTTTGCCGAGTAACCTTCTGGTGGTGGAAGCTGTAAGCAATGCGGATGCAGAGTCCCTTATGGGCCAGTTCAGGTTTGGCCCAGCCTTTGCTCAAACTCAGCAGATGAGCATTGCTCTTTTCCAGTCCCTAACTAGGAGTCAGCGGATGCTAGGGAAGGGTGACCCACCATCCCCGTTGGTCCGGGTCGGAGGCAGAGATTCGGATTCCTCGAAGGATAACCCAGAATGTGTCCTGAATCTGCAGGAACCTTGGACAAATGCAGTGCTGTGTGGACACGCGTGATTTTGAGTTTTGAGTTTGTGCAAATAGCACAGTGCTCTGGACCTTGCCCTGTGTTTCACTATTTAACCTGTAGCAGTGATATTTTAAACATTGTTTTCAGTTATGTTTCTTTATTTACTAATGGATAGCAGATATAGTAACATGCAGAATCTGAAAGTTGCAGCTCAGAATGTTTTTAACAACCACTGCTCTAACTTCTCTGGCCTCACTTTCCTCTTCTTTAGAACAGAGCCTATAATATCACACTAATAACCCAGCACCGTTGTAGTTATTTAACGAAAGAGTCCAGCGCTTCCCCCTCCTCCCTGGCAGCTCATAATCCTTGAACATTTCCTGTGAGAAGGCAGAGCCCAGATGCAGCCGTCAGGACCCTGTGGCAGAGACACGACATCCAGAGAGCTCTCTGTGGCAGCCAGAGCCACCTGCAAGTCAAGAAGGCAGCTGGAGCCCACAGCCACATGTGGGGATCGACACCTGAGATCATAAAGCTGCTTACTTTTAAATTCAGGTGCTCTTACTTTCCTAGCTTGATGGAAGTGTAAACTGAGACAGTCAGTGGGAGATGACAGGTGATCCAAGGTGAACACATCTTTTCTTGGAAAAACATCATTTCCTGGTTGGGACAGTAAGGAGGCGGGCTGCTGTCATGGTTGGCCACCCAAATGTGGGACCAAGAGGGTCAGGAAGCTCAGGTGGTGCCCGTGAAGAGTGAAGCCCTGGGGAGCGCTGACACACAGCTGTCACCAGCCAGGCCCTGCCCTGCTGCATCCTCCACCCTGGAGATGCCAACCTTCACTTCCATCTGCTACTCACTCTCTCTGTCTTTATTCCTGGCTATCAATTCCTATGGCTCAAAATGAGACCAGCTAAACATCTTAATGAACTCGGATTCATCACATGGTGGTATCAACTCAGAAAGCAGTGCTTCCCGGGGTCTCTCACACTCCTGGGTTTTTATCTCAGTGCATGGTCAGAGGGTCCCTGGTGTGGTCAGGGATGGACACTCTTAGGTGCTTTAAGCTGATTAGTTAGCAGCGTTAAAGGCTGAATTGCGCTTCCCAAAAGATATGGCAAAGTCCTAACCCTGGGTACCTGTGAAAAAGAGCTCGTTGAAAATAAGGTCTTTGCAGATGTCATTGATACCAGGTAATGAGTGTCGTCCTCCTTACAAGAAGACAGAGGGACAGAGGGAAGCTGTGTAGAGATAGAGGCAGAGACCAGAGTCATTCTGCCAAAAGCCAAGGACACATAAGGCTACCAGAAGCTGGAAGAGACAAAGAAGAACCAGGCTCGAGGGGATGCAGAGGGACCACAGCCCTGCCAGCATCCTGATTTCAGACTCTGCCATCAGAACCCTGAGGATGAATGCTGCTGTTCTGAGCCCCCAGACTGCAGTGCTAGGCTATGGCAGCCCAGGAGAAACTATAGGAGGCAAGAAGCATGTTTGCATGGACAGAGCCAGGGAAAGCTGTCTTCCTCCTCTGCCTTCCTTCACCTCTGCAGCCAGTGCACCCTACAGCTCCTGATCCACGAGGCTTGCACCTGCCCCTAGGTGCCCGCTCTGTGCTGGAGTCGAGTCAGCACGAAGACAGGCTCCAGGGTCAGAGTACTTGGGACAATGACCCCGGTGTATGGTTACATGGCCTGTGTCTGCTTCTTCTTGGGAAAGTAAGGAAAATAACATTTCACAGGGCTGTGTCTCAGCCAGCTTCCTGTTACTGTAAAAATTACCCAGGGGAAGCCAGCTTATAAAGAGAAAAGGTTTATTTTGGCTCACAAGTGTAGAGGTTTGTGTCTGTGATCCATAAGCTCTGTTGCTTTGGGGCCATGGCTGCACATTATGGGTGGGGGGACACCTGGAGCAGAGCAAAGACTGTTCACCTCATGGCAGAGAAGCAGAAGAGAGGAAAGCAGGGCTGGTGTCCCGCTGTGAGGGCACTGCCCATAGTGACTGGAAGACCTCCCACCAGGCCCACCTCTTAGAGATGCTACCACCTCCTACTAGGGCCACACTGGGGACTAAGAGCTCACCTGCGGTCCTGTGGAAGACATGTAGGATCTAGACTATTCCAGATTATTCTGAGGTCTAAATGAGATTAATACATGTCATGTGATTAACACGAGCAGTCAATCAACACCCGTTATTACTATGGTTATTGTCAGTGTTGGGAAAATAACACAAGCAAAATTCAGTGTGTTACAGGGTAAGGTGTGAAAAGGCTGGCACAAAAGTACAAAGAAAGAGTTTTGAGCAGGCTGAAGAAAGATGGGCTATTCATCACCAGGGATCAGGGAAGGCTTTGTAGAGGGGTAGCTTCTGGACAGAGCTGGAGGAGGGAGTGGACTCCACCCTGCCGGGAAGAGGTGATGGTGTGAGCATGTGTGTGTGTGTGTGTGTGTGTGTGTGTGTGTGCACGCGCATGCATGTATGTGTGTGTTCAGGTGGAGGATAGAGGTGGGAAGGGATAAGGGACTTTATCCTGGAAGGAGTCGCATTTGCTCTGGCAAAGAGATTGGGCGGGTTTGCACATTCACTGTGTGACATATGCCCCGAGTCCCATGTGGTGACTGAGATCTGGAATGGGTGGGGTCTGGACAGCTGGGGCTTGGCTGTTAGTGGGGGAGTCTGGGGCTCCCCAGGAAGGTGGGACCACTCTGGGAGCTAGAACAGTGAGCGGTGCAGGAGGGAGGCCCTTGAGGATTCTATCATCTGCCCCAGTGACGAGGAGGATCTGTCCCAGTTGAGGTGGGGCAGATGAAAAATTCAATAGCACTGCACTGAGGGGGCTGGGTAACTG